AATAAAGAGTTAACATACTACTAGTGCTGCAACTTAATCTCCTAAACCCAGGCCAATGACAAAGCCAGTAAACTATAAGTACAGTAAGGATATGAAGGCAATTAAATCTTCTCAATAACGCATACAATGACAAAAAAATTAAAAGGTTCTGATTCAATAGATTGGCAAAGGATCTAGCAGTTTTATTGCAAAAATAACAACCACGTCAGTTCCCCACATCACTAGCAGTACATGTAGCAGAGGTGAACTCATAAAACTAAACTAACAAGTAGCAAATTACTCTACTAAACAACAAGTGTACCACCAAAGTATAGACTAATGAATCCCATGAAAATGTTAGTGTCTTAAATTGCAATATCCCATCTTGAGCCTCATGTAGCAAATACTGTTGATCTCTGTCCTTTCTTCTTCTGTTATGATCTCTAGTTTGTGACACTGATGATGAGAGGGCCGCTGCTGGTGCCCTCAAAATTGCCCTTGCCCTCTTCGAATTGACCATGCCTTCTTTTGCCCCGGTCTTCTTTTCCTTTTCGACTCACTATTCGGTTGATCTTCGCCACGGCTTCTACTCAGCAGTGCTTGGTTTGTATTGATCATACTTCTTTGTTTTATTTCTGCCTCATCTTGACTCAGTTGCTTATTTGATCCCATTGGACCTACAATCTCCTCGATGGAAAGCTGGGCTGGTGATTGATATTTTGTGATTTGGGCTTCATCCTGTTTCCATTCACTTCTTATGTGGTTCAGACCTCCAATTAATCCCTTGAACTGGGCTTGGTCCAACATCACAATGCTGGGCCTGTGCAGATCCGACAGAAGGCACCCTGTAACACTGTTACTGCCCCTCTTATTGTTCTAAATCAAAACCTTGTACATGCCTTCCTCTTTTCCCAGACCTATACTCTTGGGTCTCCCACTTCATAGCACATCTCATTAACTACTGACACAGCTAGTGAACTGTCGCCGCTGCCAAAATTCATGCCTCTATTACATGAAGTTCTCACTGGGCTTAGTGTTTTTGTTAGATCTCTTTTCTTTTCTTCCAGAATTCAAGCCTTTCTCACCAAGCTTAGTACTTTTGTCAGATATCTTTCTAATTACCATGTAATGTCTGTGTTCAGACTCCTTGTTGCTGTAAGACTTTGATTATTACTATTTTTTGGTTTAACTATTAGACTTGATTGTTATTATTTTTGTTATTAATCATATGCCGTTTGTATCTGTTGGTGACCTAACAGATGTAATATTTCTCACCTCCTCCTCTTTTCAGTAATGCAGTTTTGTCAATTATATTGTATAAATTGTGGAGAATTGACTTTTGTCAATTATATTGTATATGGTTGGAGGTGCGAATGTTGTAATTGATGAAAATGATGGTTCTTGTAAAGACAATTTCTGTTTAGATGCTTTTGCCTTTGATCCCACCACTGATCCAGAGGAGGGTTTGTTGGTTCCTGTCCGTGATATTCCCAGATTGTCAGGTTACAAGCCCAGACCTATTGTGGTCACACGAGGGAAAAATTACCTTCTTTCCAGACATTCATAATACTCATTCCTGTTTGAACTTGATCTTGAGGTGCCCCATTTTGAGGTTTTTGATCCCAAATGAGATAGAAAATGGGAAATCCTCTCAGCGTCGGTAAAACTATTGGTGAAACTATCCTCGACTACTTTGCTTGGGGACACAGGCTCAGAATTTATACCCAGATAGGTTTTTGCTTGTTTGACGGAGTTCTTAAGGAAGTTTTGGGGGCAGGAGGATGGTAGTTTTGTGCCTTCTCTCTCCGGTGTTGGAACTGAATTTGAGGGGGGCTTTTGCATTGCCTGGGATGAGAGCTCACTGCTTATGATTTTGAGGACGCCAATGGTTTCCTCAAGTCTCATTGGGTACTAAGTGAGCTTTCTATTATGTTCAATCCTCTACTCGAGCGTTACGTAGGCTTTGTCACACATCTCTGAGGAGCTCTTCCCAAGCGAGAGGTTTGGTATACGTGCAGCGGTCATTCGGGCTTCCAAAACCGTTGGTGTTGGTGGCATACCGTTAGCATCTGCAAGCATATGATTTGGAAAATTGGAATTGTGCTTATCAAGTAATCGAGTCCGTCGTCATGTAAGCAAATGAAGGAATCCTTTTTTTATATGACAGATTAATATCCTATAAACTAACGTAACAAATTAATATCCCAAAAATATGGGAAGAAAATTAAAAAAAATCACTTTGCTTGTATATGGCATTGAAATGTTGCAGTCAAACTCAATTCTGTAGATGATAGGGTTCTTTTCTAGAGCCACCATCGTTCTTTCCCACTTCTCAAACCTTCATCACATGATTCCTTAGTACCACTGCCCAACAGGATCCATAAATCACACAAAATCACAGATTAAATATAACACACAACTCATAAATATTTTTTCAGGTCTATCACATTTTTTTCCTCCAAAATTGTCTATAAAATTTTTAACTGCTCAAAAATTTTCAATTGCAAAATCTTTTTTATTCATCAAAAAATCTAAAATTTTATATATAAAATTATAAACGATGGGATGGATGTAAACTGATGGGGGACTGCGTATGTAAATGTAGGACAGAATTTTGCTAATTTGGCTGATGTGGCACCATCTTATTGGATGTCTAGCAAATCCATGGTGTAGCTGTGAAAATTTTGGTCTCAACCACAAATCGGATGGTGGTTCGGATGTTTAGAATTTCTAGATAATATATATATATATATAACAAATTATAACAAATGATATGAATTTTTGTGATATTTTAAAAAATGTCAGAATACACCATTATTTTTGTCAGAAATTTCGTATAAACATTCCATTCCATATGATTATTGTTTTTGTATACACATTAATTTTATTATAATATATATGGCAGAATGGTGCCAACCGTTCAGTTGTGCTGTGGCAAATCATATCACTTGATCTTATTGATTAATTAAATACTTCAAGAAATGTCTAGGATTGACAATGACAGTCTTAGGGGTTATGGGTTCAAACACTTAGCAACTAACAACTCCAAAGTATGAGCCAAAATAGGCATGTTAGGCATTTTAGCCAATCACAATACATATGAAGAGCATTGAGCCACTCTGCAAATTGTATTGAAACCCTTTGCCCGTGAAATCGTTTCCCACAAAGTCTAAACTCCATCATTTCACATCTTTGCAGCTCTCTTCCTCATTCAGGTATGTATCCTTCTCAATCTATCTATTCTTCCTCTTCATGGGCGGCAAAACACTATCGCACTCATCACTCCCTCTTCAACGCACCTACTTGTGAAACCCTATGTTGAACCTTCCTTTCCCCATCTCTGCAACTCCCTCACTCTGTACCACCAAACCCTAGCTTCCGACATCTCCTATATGTGAAACTCTCTTCCTAAACCTCTCTACAAACCCCCTTATTTCCCTCCCTGTCATCCCCCTTCGACTGGATTAATTTATGAAATCATTTATTGCACATGCAAATTGTGGATTTCATTTGCACACTAACTGTATTTTTTTCCTTTAAACCTGTGAAACCCTTCTCTCACTCATTTTTTTACATCATTCTATTCAAACTATGCATGGTTCAGTGTCATGTAAAGGTTTTGCTTAGTGCAATTAGATCATAAAGGTTAGCAGAGTCTGTTTTTAGCATTGCATTTCATATGTGCATGCTTTGAGTATTGGCTTTTTAGGAATTTGTAGACTTTTTCTAAGTTGCAATTGTTCTTGATGTGAAAGTTTATTTTTTATTTTTTATTTTTTTGTTAATTAATTTGATCTTGTAAGTGGGATTAGAAGAAACTTTATGGGTTGTTGTGGAGCAGAGAAACGTGGCCCAAGCATGAATGTAATAATGGAAATGTGAATGTGATAATGCTTCTTCCATAAAAATATTATTCATTTGTAGAAATGCAAAGATTGTTGCCCTCTTTTGAATCTAGACAGAGAGTGTAGAGTCTTATTTCAAAGAACCCCACCTATAACATTTCTGCTAATTTTAATATGTATTATGAAGGATATACAAAAATTTGTCTATTATTACCACTAATTGAATCATTCATTATCGTCCATACTATGGCGACAATTTCCTAGCTAGTTCAAGTTTCGAATATTCTTGTTATACTACTTTAGAGTGAACAATCATTCATGTCATGTGGTTGATTGGCGTTAGATTGACGATATTACTATTAAAGTGATTTAGAGTGAACAATTTTATGGTTGTTATAATGGTTATTGGACTTGTTATATGTCTCATGGTTATATAGCATTGATTTTTTTTTTTTTTAAACATAATTAATGTCTAATTTGATATAATTCTAATCTACTAATATATGACCATATATATCTCACCTTAGTTTCACATGTCAAGTCCTTCAATGTGGAAGGGGACTGTCTAGATGATTTTGAACATTAGCCAACTCTCTTTGGAGTTTTAGGTTGAAGTATGGGATTAGGCATTGGAACCATCATTTTGTATGGGATTAGGCAGATTTCTTGTACTATTTTGTATGTGTTTTTTAGATGGCACCATTGACTTATGCTTCATAAATCTGTGGGAAGTGGAAAGCTTGCATCTATTTTTTGCAGTCAATTTTGTATCTTGATGTGGAAGCCAAAATTCATATAGTTGAGCTGATACATGTCATTATTATTGATAGGTCCCTTTCTATTGAATTATGGCCTGTTGATTCTTGTGAAATGGAAAATTACCCAATTCATTTTGATTTTGCTGTTGTTTCTTTAGAACCCACTCCACACCAAAAAAATATACCACATATTTTAGTACTTCAACTATTGCTTTAAGACAATATCACCAACAAAATCATATATAATTGTTGCTGCTGAATCTGCTTCTGTTGGTGGTGCTGCAATTGTTGCTGCTGATAATGACAATATCACCACCACTACTACTTGTACTAGTACTAGAATCATGATTATATAATTTTCAATTGTTGCTGCTGAATCTGATTCTGTATTCAAAATCCATATATAATTGTCAATTAGGATAGCAGGAGACCAAGCTGCATTTTGGGGTTGTGGATTCTTTGGAGCCCAAGACACCCTTCATGATGATAGGGGTTGCCATTACTTCAAAGATTGCTATATCCAAGGTTCAATTGACTTATCTTTGGCAATGCTAGGTCCTTGTATGAGGTAATATATAATACTCTACTCTGCTTATCTCTCTGTCTTTGGCAATACTTCTGCAATTTTGGCTATAATGATAATGAATATGAATGGATGAATGAATGAATGAATGAATACAGAGTTGCTAGCCGAGTTCGATTGTGAACCCAGTGGCACTAGGGGCGAAGGTGATAAACGGAGTGGTAAGCGCGCATGGAAGAGCTTCAAAGGATGAAAACAGTGGATTTGCATTTGTGAACTGCAGTGTGGGAGGGACTGGAAGAATATGGTTAGGTAGAGCATGAAGGCCCTTCTCCACAGTGGTCTTTGCTTACACACAAATGACTGATATCATTGCTCCTGAGGGATGGAACGATTTCAATGACCCCACCAGAGACTAGTAATTAATTAAAATTACCCATTATTATATATTCTTCTTCTTCTTCTCTGTTTATGCATGGTTTAATTTAATTTAATTAATTTTTTTTTTAGGACCGTTTTCTATGGAGAGTACATGTGCGGAGGTGCAGGAGCTAATATGACTTTGAGGGTGCCATATGCCCAAAGACTGAATGATACACAAGTTTCTCCTTTCCTCAATGCGTCTTTCATTGATGCAGATCAATGGTTACAACCATAACAATACACACATACACACACACACA